CAAAGCACAAAAAAAAAAAAAAGAAAAAAGAAAAAAGAAGGCAACGCCAAGGGAATCTAACTCAACCATCAAGGCGCAAGTCCTCGTTTGAAATGAAAATGATCATCCTCAAAAGGGACGAGGGTTCTAAGTATAGGTACCTCGTTGAACCTGCATCTGAATTCTGCCCCCGAGAGCCAAGAACCCCCCGGTTAGTGGTCGTTAAGGACCCTTAAGTTGGCATGCATGCATGTGGTCTCCGCGGAAAGAAAGTGAGGAATGGATCAACAAGGAAGGGTATTTGTTCAGACTCCTCCCCACCTACCAGAGACCAGAGATCTACTGGGTCTATCTGAAACTTCGCGAGATGAAACTGATCTAGGTAAAATCCAACGGAAAGTCCCGCCCGCACGGAGGTCGAGGAGTCGAACTCCGGTAAAAAGAAGGGGGAAGACTCCGTTGTAGATCGGAGTCAGGATACTATATCCGTTGGGGAATTCGATGTTGACCATCAAGTTTAGTAACGATTACTTACCTTAGTATAGTAGGCTCTGGTAGCTAATAATGGAAATTAGGGTACGGGGCTTGGCGTGAGCAGCCAATGGGTGGTTGTTGGTGGCAGGCGGGGCCAATCAGATCATACGACAGGGCAGAATGCGTTCGTCGTGAATAAAGCTGTATTGGGTATGGTGCGGACTTCTGACCATTGTCGAAGTCATGATAAGATTGGTGGAGAAGAAGGCATATTAGCTGTACCCAGCTTTTGGTACTAGCTTGCTGGCCTAAGGCCCAATCTGGTTCGATCTGTCGGATAAGGTGACTTTTTTTTTTTTCTCTGGGGCAGGTCGTTCCGTCCAGATTAGCCCTTTTACTATTTTTGTCCCGGTTCTCATACAGATAGGGTTCTGCATTGACCTTGGTTCATTGGAAAAGGTGTGAGGTCATGCCTCATATTATTAATCGATGTGACATCTTGTCGGCTCGATACCTAAGGTATGGTGATCAGGAAGAAGGAACGTTATAGGTAGACACCGATGTAGAGGTGCCCGGTGATATCAAGACCCAGACCCGGGCCTCAGCAAGCTTACCTCATAGACAACGCCTGATGGTGCTATGATAGGATAGAAATGGTTACTCAGGGAAGGATGAGTCAACGTGCAAATCAGGTCCCTGCACGCCTGATTCATAAGCCGGCAGACGAGACTAGGTGTTATGCTTTTCCCTCTGCTATTGACAACTAGTCCAGAAGCTGATAATTTAAGCGTTGGCTTGACGTCCTCTGGGTGGGGCCGGCATGTACTCCATACATGGAGTGGTATTGATATATCGACCATTGTCACAGTAACAGTGCAGGACGACATCTGGGATGCGTGGACGGCTACCAGGATAGGCTGGAGGTACGTTGGGCCTTCCGGAGCATGTACAGTATCAATGTATCTATGTTTGACACAATTGACACATACCCACCGTAGCTCAAGGTACACCCAACCAGCTGTTGCCATTTGATTGATCCATTGGCAGACGAGACAGATCAGCAGGAGAATTTAACTTTGGTCGCATTTTACTCCTCTATTGAGTATACAAGGTATTCTAGATAGGGTTTCTGACATGGCGAAGCGAGAGCGAAACTTAATAGAAAAGAAAAGGTACAACATCCATCCATGAAAAAGTCCCCCGCCAGTGGCTGGCTAGTATCAGTCCACATGGCGGGCAAGATGCCTGTGTAAGGTGAGTCACCACTGTCAGAGCTTCTTTGGAGGAGATGGGGGGGAGCTTGATAGGCAAACATGAGCATGACCTATCTCCAAGGCATCAAGGAAGGTAGTCTAATATGATAGCCTAATGAACATCCGATCAATAGTGATGATGGGCAAAAGCGAATAAAGTTACGCCGAAGCTAAACAAAGTTGACCAACCCTAACGCTTTTCTGAATTAAAAAGCGGTGACATGAGTCTGGAACACACCTAACCACATTAGGTGGCATCTCGCGACGGGGTGCTTGGCAATAAGAAAAACTGTCAGGGGCGTGACGGAGTGACTTCCAATTTGCCAATCACGAGACTTGACCATCTTGGAGCAGTCTATCGAATGCGGAGAATGGCTCGGGACTTGCCATTGGTCGTCCCCCGTATGACGGGTCGGTATTGTCCGTTTCTTACGGGATTTGGTTAGCGGGACTTTGGGGAAAGGTCAGTTTAGTCCGTTCCCATTTCTCATCTCCCTCTCTCTCTCTTGGTCTATCTCTCTATCTAATTCTAACCAGATGAAGGTCTTGAATTGTGGATAATCTTGTCTCCAGTTACCTAGGATGCACGCATCCTTGGCAACCTTGACAGATTGGAAACTGGTTGGTGGCTCTGGTTGAGAGAAAGCCGTTAGGGCGCGACCAATTCCTTCTAAGGGATAGTAACCACGAATGCGCAAATGGGCTTGTCTCCAGCTGTCCGGACAAATGGGATAGGTCCTATACTGCCAAGACTTCAAAAGCTCTAGCATCATTGACAGGGATCAAGCATCCATTAGCTTCCACTCAAGGAATATTTCTTCCTCAAACATCAGTAAAATAAATAAATAAATAAATAAAAACGTGGCATGAGGCTTTTGTGTTACACATTTCCAATGCATGCACACCCCTCGATTGATGCAGGTCGAGGGTGAGCCTAGAAATGCCGTCATTCTCAGCAATTGTCGAGGCTTTCGACAGGACATTTGTCTATGAGTAGAGAATTAAGGTATCCCCTACCTATACCCGACCCCACCAATGAGCGGGCAGGATTAACTGATCGCTGATTCTTAATCTCGGTCGCCCACGACCGTGGACCCGGACCGCAGCCCCCGAAAGGGTTTTTTACCCTATAAGTTAGAAGCCTTCATTAACCTCGTCCGTTTAGTGTTCTAGGGCATTTACCTTATCTGGAAATCTTCCTTCAGGGCCCTCTGTTGATCCAATCAGATTGGAACCAAAAAAGAGTTTCACAACGATTCGCGTTTAGCTCTTAATTTAGTTCGAGGCGGTTTCGCGTTAGCATTTGATGGTTTTTTTTTTTTACTTTAGCCTCCCCCCCCTATTATGATTATTATTATTATTATTTCTTTGATAAGATGGGAGCTCCTTACCGGTTTCCTGATACGTTTAAAATTAGCGAATTGACGTGGATCGGACTGCCGAAGTTCTGTTTCATCTAGGAATGCGTAACACACAAGTTTGCCCTCCATCAAGGCTGAAACTGTGCTACTTCTCCCCTCCTCTTATCAACAAGACTGTCACAAGTCATTCAGTGTCCCCAGTATGGCCATGCACTTCATCCACGGTAACACCATCCGAGGGAACTCAAAACCCGCCATCCTGGGACGGCGGGCGAGGTCATCTTCACACACGGCCGTAGGGCTCACTGCCCCACTAGTCGCCCGTGGCTCAGCCGCAAGCATTGCTAGTTTAGGTACTCTTGGTTGCAGGAGGCCACCGGATTTGTCGAAGAATGAAAACAAGTTCAACGTTTTGACCAGTCCACCAGAAAGGAGAGGCTTCTCGTTCGACAGTGCTCCGTGCCTTGTCCGTAGAAGGTTTGCAGCCTCGATCTAAATCTTAGTTGGAGGAACTAAATCTTAGCTGCATACGCAGTGACCCTGGACAGGTGATTCGGTGCCTTAGTGGCTTGGCTGTATGATCGCTTATTCTCTCCATGGGTGTCCGTGTGTAAAGATACTTGAGAGAGCCGTCAGACAGGGTTTTGATGGTCATAAGGGAAAGGTGGAAAAGCCCTCGGCCGAAGTAGGCCCCCCCCCCGTTATGATTGGGGTGTTGACCGCGAGGGTCGGTTGCTCTTCCCGAATTTAGACCGTGTGCGTTCTACGGTTCTTATGTATCGAGCTCCGCTTGATACCGGTAATCCAAACGTGCGTCCCCTAGCGTCGGATAAAAACGGCGCATTGCAAGAGACTCTGCAAACCGTACATCAAAGTTGCGCGCTATCCACTCCATCATCAGGGGTAGGAAGCCATCCATCGTGACGCTATAGAGTCGCGGAGGAACTATAAGCAACATCTCCCCTAGCGGGGTGCTAAAGTTTTCCCCTGTCTTTATACCCTCCATAGGGGGATTTCCAGGCACCCTGAACGGTGAGCTCAGCCCGCCTGACGGGGTAATCGTTCGCTACATCATATCAATATTCCTTTTGCGGACGGATCCGCGGGATTAATTTGTTGGTGACATCTGTTTGAATTGGACTACGTCCACGAGGCACCAGGATGAAAAAGCAATATAATTCTTTGAATCCCCTGCTAGCGCGGGAGCGACACCAAAAAGCAATTGTGCAGGTGTAGCGCATCCAATAATAGATAGATTATCTTCCCCTTTTCTCACCGGTACCTTCCTCGAGCCTCTCAGGATGATTGGTTTTGGTTTTTAATTTTATTTTTTCCTTTTCTCTTCTTCTTTCAGTGTGGATGTTCGTTGGATATAACCATATCGGTCATAGGGTAAGGTCGTTGGTCGACGATCCCCAAGTTCTAGTGACGGGACAAGGGTCCCTTAGAGTCAAAGTAGGCGATCACCATGACGATATACTTATACAGTAAGAGGGGCTATCGGCTCGACGTTATCCAATACATACCTTGTTCAGAACGGAAAATAGACAGGGAAATGAGAGGTTCAGAAGGAAAGAAAGGCAGCCCACATGGCTCCAAGACAGGGTATCTTGTTGACAGAGAAGAGTCAAGCTACCCCTGGGGTCGGACTTTTGAGGGTAAACAAAATCCGATCGTTAAGTAATGATAACCATGTGATGAACGACTTTAATCTGACGCCAATCAGTGACCGGCCCGTCCGCCCACTGTGTGTCATCGAAAACCTATTGCCCAAGATTTGGTGGGTGAGTGGGTGAGAACCTTAGAGAACCACAGGACCGACAAGATTATTCAGTCTGGGTCAAATATGGAGCATATCAGGTGCGAGCGGACGAACAAGAAAATGCGACGAAAAAGAAAGACGGAAAAAAA